TAGATCTTATACTTCTTGTTAATATCAAACTATATTTTTATCTCTTTATAAAATAGTATCATCTCTAAACATCTTACACTGAACAGGCTTAGGTCTCAAATAAATTATACTCATTTTCCTTATTTTCGTATTCGTCTTCATTCTTCGTCATTTTCTCATTTGTCGTCGCCAGAATCGTCAACACTATCTACTTCGGTCACATTTCGCAATTTTGCGAAACCAGACAACATCATTGCGTGTCATCTGTTTGTAATGATAAGTTAAACATATTGAAATATAATACTTTAGTTCAATTAATGTAAACAAATGATTTTAAGCATCGAAATACATTTCCTGATTGAAAATGCACAAAGATCAATTTTCATTGTAAGACGATATTTAAAATTTTCTATTTCGAGCTATCTACAAGTAATTGAAAAAATGTCGAAAGAATATATTATATGTGTCACCATTTAAAATACAATTTTGAGTTTACGTTTTATTTGAAAGTCCTCGATTTAATTCGCTTTTGTATTACAACAGTATCCATTTTAATTGTGAACATTGCTTATGATATATTATTGCCCAATTATTATAAAATTAAGTTTAAGGCATTGCAAAATTTATTTAATGTTTATTTAGTATAAGGTCTAAAATAAAATTGAATTGATAAATCGTTCAAGCTATTATTTTACACAAATGGGTAAGATATTTCGGATGAATGTGTCTATGTGCATGTGTGTGTATTGTCAGCTAGGAAATGATAACGCTTTCGGTGCCCAAACAGTATTCAAGTAATTTATACCTATATAAATTAAGTTGCAAAATAAATAACGCATTATAATATTTCCAATTGTGAACACAGATGGTAGCAATGAAAGTAATAGTTGGGGGCACTTGGAGATATATGAGACATGCATGTTAATAGAAGTGAATTGCAGCTAGGGTTCAATGAAAATTTAATATGGGAATAGCAACTAGGGGTCAATGGGAATTGAATATCCATGGCATAATGGAGTTTATTTATTAAAACTATTTATAGTGTGACATGCATTTAAATGAACAAACTGTATATAGGGACAAACATAAATATACAGACAAATACATATACATAAAAGAAAATGTAACACAGAGACAAGATGAGAGACATATTCAAAATAAATACTCACATATTGAAAAGAGATACCTCAAAGAAAAGTCTATTATATTGGAACAAAACTTTTATTCAAATATATACATGGAGTCTCTGGCCTGTGCTTCGGTCTGAGTACTATTCGTTTAATACATATAAATTCGGTAATGAAACAAACTTGTTTACACATTATCTAGTTATTCGTTCCAAAAACCTACTTTTTGAAGTTAAAGTTTACACATTCGAAATACACATACTATTTTTACAGTTCATAAAAATTCAATTTTTGTTCATTTTTTGATAAAACTAAAATAAGACAAGAAAGAAACACTCAAATAACACAAAGTCCAAGTCTCTTTATCATTATTCGTCATATATACGGTTTAAAATTTGGTCAATCCTCCCTTTCATTATTCAAAATACTTGTGTACCCATTGTGCTTCATATACTCATCGATATCCTGATAAAGTGTATTCATTATTTTTCCCCATGGAGGTACACAGTGTGCCAAATGAATGGTCATTTTACATCGATGATGTCAAATTCGTATCTCATTCGCTGCACGCCTTTTACAGCTCCCAAAACTTTAAAATAAGTTAAGAATGCAGGTATACTTAACTCAAGGCACAAATGACAGTTAGAAATGTCGTAACACATACATACACCTTCACTTCTAGTTTGGCACTAATGTTTGAGTTCCTTTAAAAGGGAGTCAAATAAGTCTGAAATAAATTTTCCACGGGTGGATCTTTACATTGTAGGTGCATATTTTCGTTCTAACTATTGTCGAAGTGGCTGTTGGAATCATTTGGATGATACACCATCCTCCTTTTTCTACCTACCTTGCTGTGACGGTATGGTGGAGAAAGAGGTCGATGATGTTTGATATGGATATTATTTTTGTGTGGAGTGATTCATTTTTCTCGCAATGAATTTTTTTTTACCTTGGAAGCCGTCCCTTTTATACTTGGCGATATTAGAGTGTCCATAAGGTAAATGTTTTTAGTCCGGAAGTCGTACTTGTCACACATAGTTTTACATTGTGTTAGTAAATAAACTACTAGAATGTACTAAAGCATTGGTAAAGTGACCCTAAGGTACAACACTTCACTCTAATTTCCCATTGGCCTTAAGTTTCTAGCTCAATACAAGCTGTCTGTAATTAATAATCTTTCTAGCTCTGGGTTTGATCTCGTAATGAAGTGCTTGTATTTGATATTTTCCACAAAGAACTTGCCAATATCAACGTGTTCTTACGGGACAGTGAAGTGTCAAGTAAATGACTGACAGAGATTTTCTAAGGGTCAACTGACGATTGGATGTGTAGGTAAACGTACAATCTTGTGCGGTTCATAGGTTGTCAGTCTAATTTTTTATCCTATGCAGGTTGCAAGGAATCTTCCAGTAAGCTAAAGTTCAACACGTTGCTCGTTTGATGAATTGGATTCAATCCTTTTACTTTACACTCAGTGTGCACTTAACCTTATTTGTTCCGGAATTTGTAGCCGTATTGTTTTGTTCCGGTATTCGTAGCTGTATTGTTTTGGATCGCCTCTAGCAAAACGCAAAATATTGTCTTCAGGAAGATCGTGCGTCCATGCTTCTCTATGGTCTATTTCGATTTCAGGGTAATGATGAATTTTAAATGCTGAATGCAGATGTAACTGTCCCTTTAATAATGCAGGACGCGATCTTCTAATTGTTGTAAGAAGTCGTACAATTTTAATCGAGCATGGTCTGCCACTTAGGCGGCAATGATAATATTTACATATTAGTCATCATCTGCAGAATGAAGTTATTTTTCCTAACTAACCAGGATCAAACATTACGAACGACGTCCACGTGTTTCATATATTTAGTTGTGTTGGGAATCATCTGGGAGTTGAATGTTTTGTCAAATACTTCGTCTTAGATAAGCATGGTCATTTTGCCATTTCTCCACACAAACAATACAGCATTACTTTGGCAAATTATAGCCTTCCTTTGTTTTCCTCCGCCTGGTCTAAACTGGTACTCTCATCGGACAAATATGTCTCTTTGAATTTCTTTTGGTCTTAACGAGTTTGACAATAAGAAGGAAAAGCAATGGTTTTCTGTTTCAGCTTGTGCAAGGCATTCGTGAAAATTTTTTCCTGACTGTCCTAGTCCTTCATGTATTGTTTAGTCTCTGGAACGTAGTAAATTTCGTACACTTTTAACATTTGTATCCCAATTGTTGTATCCCAATTGCTGAGCGCGAAACAATTCTATGCTGACCAATGTCCCAGTCAATGCACGTTCCCCCTGAGTCTGATGACAATGTTGGGGTTGGTTACAACTTTTGGCACATGTATGACAAAACGGAAACGTTCGTTTTCCTTGGCATAGTAAGATCAAATGGGATGGTACAAGTTGTTGGGAGACAAGAGATTACCTCGTATTGACGAATGCTGTCCAGGTCAGTGTGTTCCGTCATCAATTGTAGAAGTCCTGTTGATAATTGAAAATAATTACACACGTAAGGATGCAGAGAACAAACGTCCATATATTTGACTTTTTCTCCTTTCTTCTCGTTGTTGTAGCACAGCTAACATGTGACATTCGTTCGACCTCCATACAAACTATCCCTGGCGTTGAGAGGGTAAACCAGCTTGCAAGTTTCTATGATGCGTTCAATTTGGGATCATGCTAAATACGGTGATCGTACTAGTGTTCGTATTCCACCATTTGGTATCCTTGCTCTTCTAAACTCAAGTGTCGTTGACCAGTGTTCTTGTAGAAGTCGTACATGGTACGATGCAAAAACTGATTTCTGGTGTTGCATTGAGAATAGCAAGTCAGACATCTGTGAAGTAAGCTTCTTTTAAACTCGTAGATGATCTCAGGGTCCTGTAAGTGCCAGCCATCCACCGAATACTTTCCAATGGTCTTTGCGAATGCTTCTTTTCTGGCATTCATCCATTTGTTTCACGTTATGCACAAGTAGTGCAGCCAGTGTAGAGCTTTGACCAAGTATCGACGTTTGACAAAATTGGTCGTTTGAGGGAGTATGACAGACACAGTGTTCTCCTGCATGAATCGTTCGCTTTGCCATCATCCTCTAATGATACTCACAGTGTCAAAAATCTTGGTGAGGTCCACAAAGGTGGTGTAGAGAAAGACGTTCTGCTATTGGAATTTCTCCTGCAAAGATCATGTCCATGGTGCCCTGACCCTGAAGCCGCACTGACATTCTGGAAGCAAGCCATGCTCCAATTGAACGGTCAGTCGGTTTAGCAGAATTTTGCGATGGATAATAGGGAGATTCCACAGTGGTTTTTCTATGCTTGCCGGTTTCCCTGTTGCTTGTAGTGGTGGATAATAAAAGCGTCTTTAAACTCCTGCAGAATCTTCTCATGGTCCACAAATCCTGGAAGAGGTCAGTAAACTTCTGAATTAGTCGGTTACCACCAGCAGCGTAGATTTCATCTGGGATTGTGTCATAATCCTTTGGCTTTGCCACTGGATATATTTTTAATTGCCTTCTATACTTCTGTGAAAAATGGTGAATCAGAGAGGGATGTGTTGGATGGGACCTGGGGAAGTTGAGCGATCGCTACAGCATTGATGGAGGAAGGACAGTTGAGGACGCTGTCGAGGTGTTCTGTCCATCGCTCGATTGCATCTGTGAGTGTGCGATTCGGATTGTTAATGTAGCTTTAACTATTTTTCAGTCATATCGCTACAATGTCTGCAGTGTGTCAGTTTATAGTGAAGTCTAGCACTGGGGCATCATGCCACAGTTAATCAAACATGATTTCCCACCCAGTCGCATTATTCTGACAGCAGGCCAACCAGTCCTAACACTAACCTCCTAATGCTGAACGCTAAGTGAGGCAGCTGTTATTACCAAGTTTATAGGTCTTTGGTATGACTCTGCAAGGAATTGAACCCACAACATCCCACATCTAAGGCGGATGCCCTAATCACTAGGCCACTGGATTGATCAATTCTATTTGATCAGTGATATAAATCTGCCATTCAATTCTAAATAAACATTCTGAAACCATCTTCTGTTTAATCACCATTTTGTCTCTCTTAATCTCTTTCATGCCTATATTTCATATGATAAAATCATGAGATTGATTTAAATTTAGAATGTTAACAAAATGGCAAATCTAGAACTTTGACAAAATGGCAAAATTTAATTACAATGGACATGTGTAATTTTAAGTCAAATTTAAAACCAAAGACTGATTTAACATGTGCATAAATTTTGTCTTTTTTACAATTGTGAAAATGCTTCTTTAGCAGATCTGAATTCATAATTTCTTGTGATGTGTATATATATATTTGAGATGAGAAATCTGAATACACTTTATTTGATAGAAGTGAATGACAGATCAAAAGTTATTGACAAACAGATACTGTGAGCAACTGGTAATCAATCAAAGGATATTTAAATCTTGTTACATTTAATTAGTTTTTATTAGTTTTTATATGTAAGTATCAAAAATAATTTAACAATGTAAGCTTTAAAGGTGATCAAGTTCACACAATATTTGGAGGGTGTGTGTGACTAATAATAAAGGTGTCACCATCTAAGATTGGTATAACCTAATTCTTTGGGTACTGTACATAGTCACAGCAAGTTAATAGTGGTGCAATCAGTTTCAAAGATTGACTTCTCAGTCAAGATATTTGCTCCCTACTGGTCATGAATGAATTTGCATGCTGAATTTTTCAGACTCACAAATTTGCATATTAATGTAAAAATGTATGATATATGTGATCTGGTTAAAATTTAATATTTCTTGAAACGATTTTCAACAGATGTTAGAACTGCTGCATATGTAACTTGTCAATAAATCACAGGATATAATTATGTCATTATTGCATAGGAGGATACACATTGCCATTTTGAATTTTCTGCCATGGTTAAATTTAATCCCAATTCATGCTGATCCACATTTTTAATGGCAATACAATCTATAGAAAAAATTATTTTCCTCTACAAAATTCATTAACTTTATGCATTATTTTGCCATCTCCCTAACCAGAATCTGCAAAAAACGGGCTGTTGGTAAGATTGTCAAGTAAAATATAGAAATAAACTTACATTTCATTTTTACATAGGCATCAATATATTATTATTAGTATTATTATCAAGAAGAAGAAAAGAAGAAATGAAGAAAGAAATATACTTAATACATAACCTTGTCAGTTCTGTTGAAGAAACCTGCTAATTTTATTAACATATTATTGATCATGTATCAATTAGAAATGTTTTTGTGGAGCTGAACTGGCCCACTACAATGCAAAAAGTCTGGCCGGTTGTTTGATTATTGCATTGTTTCATCGTGTATCTATACTAGAATAATAATTCTCATTTACAGAAAATGAAAACTTTCACTGAAATTTCAAAATAAAAGATCATGTATTCTTTAATTTGCTTGTTTCTAATACACATATGTCAATAAAAGTTACTTTCAAAATTGATTAAGGTAGAAATATAGAAATTAGTTTAATAATTTCCAATGTTTTAATGCAAATGTATTTAATCATTAAATATTTCAATTGATACATTTTATGAAATTATGTTGTATATATCATTCATTTAATTAGTATAAAATGTACTTACTCTACAGTCACACTAGCCCCTACTGTCTCATTTCATTCTCTACTTCATCTTCTTCATGAAAATCATAAACTGATGACATTCTAAAACTGTATTTCTTCCTGGCTGAAGTATGAGCTATTTGCTAGGTGGGCATACAATATTCAACCTCTCAAAGCCATGCCTTAGTCCAATGAAATTCTGCACAGGCCTATAGAGAAATTTTGACCTTTGATCATGGAGATGGATAACATTGCCTATTACTCTGGCTTTTGATATTAATGGTGATGAACTTGAGCTGTTGAAACTATGTTGACTGGATTATTAGTGAAGATTTGTTGGATGATGTATTGCTTGGTGCAAAATACTGAGTATTGTAAAACAAATAGTATAATACTGAAATGCCTAAAGTCAAAGTGCTGATCTCCCAATGTGCAAGAATTATAACCATGTGCAAATCATTTCTAAAAATCCTTTAATTTAATTATTATACAACATTATTCTGTAAAACAATTGTTAGCTGATTACTCTTTAATGTTCTTAATTGGCAATATTCATACATGGTGTAATAGCCTATTCTTCCACCCTGACACCTTAATTAGTTCTTGCCCCTTCCCTTACAACTCATTAGCTTCTCCATCCTTTCAAATAATTAGTTTATATTCAATAATGAACTCTTTGGTAAAAAGCAGACTGCCACGTGTATATATGTAATAAACCAGTTAACAAATTGGAAAGGAGGAAGGGTCAACTATCTCATTTTTTTCACCCTTAAACCAATTAATTTCTTTTCATTATGTGAAATATCAAATTATGATGGATCCCTTAACGGGGAGGGGGGCAGAATCAGCTAACTGATTCTTTCTCTACATCAAACTATTGGTTCCTTATTATGAATTTTCTCTTTGGTATTAAACATATGGAAATACCATAGACTTAAAAGGTCATACAATAAACTGAGGGGTGGGTGACAGAATCAACTAGCTGACTCTTTTTCTCAGCAGCAATTTCTTTATTTTCATTAATGGCTCTTCCCTGATCTTGAATTATTATGCAGGTAATGGTTCACTTTACAAAATCTCACATTTGCTTTATTTCAAATGAAGCTTTACAGGTAAGAGATGTTACGATATCAGACTTTCAAAAGTCACTTGCATGGAATAAGACTTTTAAAAAATCTTCCTCGTTCATTTTTACAAACTAGCACTGCATTAAAATAGGGACCACTGCTAAATGATTCGAGCATCCACCTGTGATGTGGGAGGTTGTGGGTCAAACCCTGGTTAAGTCATACCAAAGACTTTTATAAAAAATGATACTAACATCTGCCTCACCTAACACTGAGCATTAAGAGGTTACTGCTAAGACTGGTCGGCCTGGTGTCAGGATAATGTGACTGGGTGGAACATGATGCAAAATGTCTGCAGGATGGACATCACAATAAACTGCCATACTGCATACATTACAGTATTAAGACTCGAAGCTCCATTAAAAATAAAAAATACACACACATTCACACACACTCAGATGGTGATTTACAAGGTTTTGTAAATAGATTCTAGAGTGACTGAAAGTATCCAAGCAAAAATATGCTGGGTACTTCAATCAAACATACTGGAAAATTCCTTTGAAATTGGATCTACTAGTACCATACACATAAATGTCAGTATACAACTGTGATGTTGCACTCATAATCTTGGCATCAGCTGCCAATGAAGTATTTGACTCCATATTACTGTCCTGAAAATACTTATTCATATTGTTGTTGTGATAATTGCTAAACGTTTTAGTAGCCATTGTGGAGCTCATATGCCTAACAATACTATTTCAGCAAATTTTGTAGCTGTCTTTACTTATTAAATTGCAAAGCTTATAGCCCAGAACATACAATTACCATCACCTCATACAATTTTCTGTGGTTGATGGAGAGAAGACACAGTGAGAGAGGAAGCAATAGAGAAAGAACAATATAGAAAAAGACTGGAAGACCGAAGAGAGAGAGATACAATTAGAGAGAAAGTGTTTGGAACACAAGAGGAAGACAAAGGAGGAAAAAGAAGAAAGGAAGAAAAGAGAAGAAAAGACAAACGAGAGAGAGAGAGAGAGAGAGAGAGAGAGAGAGAGAGAGAGAGAGAAGAAAAAGGGGAAAATTTCAAGAGTTATGTACAAAGACTAAGAAGGAGAGAGAAAACAGGCAGTTTTATGCAGGGAATAAAATGAGAGAAAGAGAGAGAGAGACAAGGAAGAAATGAAAGGGGATGAGTTAGAATAACAGAAACATGAATACAGGAAGAAAGAGAGGAAGATAAAGTGGAAGACAATGAGAAAGAGCATAGACAAAGAGAGAGAGAGAGAGAAAGGAAGAGAATAAAGGAGGGAAAGGAAGAGAGAGGCGAAGAAAGAGTGGAAGAGAAAGAGAGAGAGAGAGAAAATGAGAGAAAATTTGACATAAGTCTGCCCAGCTTCTTTTTTCAGTTTCTGAATTTTTTCCGAAAAGCCTCAGGGACTAACGCATAATTCCTTAATATGCATACCTTAACCAAATTATAATTCGAACTCTGTTGTTCTGACAAGGATGCATGGATATTTTGGGCTGTGCCGGAAAGTACACATCTCAATAATTGAGTCCAATGCTTTCTTGGACATTTTAAAGTTTCAGCAACTTTTTCAAAATAGATAAAATATTTGTCTACTTCCTTTTCACTAAAAGGGGAACTAGCCTGATATATCACTGGACAACACATTTTTAGAAATGTTTTGCTTTCTGAAAAATGTTTGGTGACTATGAGTGCCATATCCAAAGTGAACACAAATATAGTAAGAATTTTGAGAAACATGAAATTAAGTTTCATTGACTACAACGTGTTTATTCGCATAAAGTTTCTGACACGCTGCATAAGTTTAAAGGGGCTAAATGTTTTGCTCCTGATTTTCGTTTGTATTCAGTGTCTGGTCCATCTGGTTGCAGTGTCCAACCAAACGTCATCCAGCATTAATTAATTCCAGTTGCCCTGATACCGTTTTTCCATTGTAGAAGTGACCTGGTGAAACTTTTCACCCTGTTCAACACTGACTTCTCCAAGAAGTCCAAATGTGAACCCAGGAAATGACTCTTCAGTGACATGTTGCACTTCATAGTTTTGTTTGCTTTTAAAAAAAATGCCAATCAGTATAATGTAGTTTGGTGCTTTGTGGTTTCCAAGAAAATTCTCAACGACATCCTTTAATGATTTCCAGGCGATTGTATCTGGCTCCACTAAGAGATCTACGGACCGCTGGTTATTGATGACGTGTCTGATCTGTGGACCAATGAAAATGCCTTCTTTAATCTTGGCATCAGTTATTCTTGGAAACATTTGTCTCAACGAAAACCCCCACCTT